CCCCCCCGAAGGGAAGCACCGACACAGACGGGCACAGAGACCAACGCTTTGCTGTCCCTCGGCGAGGTTGGCAAGGAAGCAGGAAAAGCTGAGAACCGGCTGTCCAGGGGGGTCCCTTTAAGCTCGAGCCTCAGATAGCCTCAGACAGCAGCCACACAAAGCAACTACTGACCTGATGCCCTGCCAGAACCAGTTTCAGCTGCCCTTAAATGCGCCCCTGCGTCCAATCAGTGTGGACGCGCTAGTTCGAATTAGCAAAACGCTAATTCGAACTAGTTTTTAGTTCTAGATGCGCTAGTTCGAATTAGCTTAGTTCGAATTAACTAATTCGAACTAAGTTCGTTCGAATTAGCGCTGTAGTGTAGACGTACCCCAAGTGAGGGAGAGCAGGAGCTGGTGCTGGAGGGAGCCAGAGTAAAGGACAGTCCCTCCCAGCATTGTCTCCATGGGGGGCCAGGAGCGGCAGAGGCGTAGTGGGGGGGAGCTGCCAACCTCTTAATACATTTAAAAGGCAGAGCTGCAGCACAGTACTGCAGTTTCCTCCCTTATCAACTAATCAAGTAGTCGATGGAAATTCCGACTACTCGATTAACTGTTTAAATGCAATTTAACATCCCTAGTCTGATTCTAGTCTGAAAAGGGACTCTGTAAAACTTACTATGTCACAATCACATAAAGCAAGGGGCCAGTTCTGTCCTTACTCACACCAGTTCAACCTCCATTGGTTTCACTAGCCCTTGATATACATCAGAGGCTGTTACAAGATGAATCATGGGAGCACTGATAATCGGCACAGTGAGTCAAGGTCTCACGTTCTTATTTATCTGAGCCAATGAGAGTTCTGCCTGAAGGTCTCAATAACTATGGAGTAAGGAGCTCAAGATTTGACTCATGCCAATTAACTGTGCGATGCATTTGAAAATGAAGGGCCTTTACTTGCAATCCTACATCACTCAGGCAACTGCACTGACGTCCGTGAGGGTCGATCAGCACATGAGAGCTGCTTCAAAAAGTAAAGGGAGCAGTTGCTGATCCTGCAGCCAAATGTACATGAGTGAGTGTGAGGTCAAAGGGATTCTGCCTTGGCTCAAGAGCCAGCCCACGCTGATCTGATTTCAAGAGCTGGCTCTTGATGGGTTCTTTTGATTTACTTTTGAAAGAACGTGGCTGCAGTCTAGACGCAGGTGAAGTTTTTTTGGAACAAGGCTCCTTTTTTAGAAAAAGCTCTGTAGTCTAGATACACCCTGTGTTCCACCCTTTGGCGTTTTTCCTTTCTCTGCTGCCACCCTTTACATGTTATAGGAAATAGTTCCATTCCTGGCATGCCACATTTTCCAGGCACAACCAAACCTTGATCTTGGTTTGAGTTATAGTAAGAAGAAGCTGAATACCAAAATTGGTGGTCCTAAATCTAATGGTTTAGGAGGAGTTTTTAAACAAATGGATAAACAGACACAGACAGGCACACTGTAAAAAGCATCTGCTTTTCCACAAAAAATAAGTGGAAGAGCAGATGTGTTCCCTGGATGCAGTGGAGTTTTTCAGGGATACCTCTGGGTACGTCTAAACTATGTTTTTTTTCCAAAAGAGGATATGCAACTTCCGCAGGAACTTGCATATCTTCTTCCAATCGCTTTTTTGAAAGCTGGTCTTTCAAAAGTTAAAGTAGTATGGATGTGGTTTTTTTTCAGGAAAAAACCCTTTTCAAAAAACCATGTAAACTTCCTTTTTTTAGGAAGAGCATTTTTTTCGAAAACGGTTTTTTTTCCAAAACGGGAGTTTTGGCTCCAGGGTGCTGGTGCTGGTCGTCTCTTCCTCCTCCTCCTCCTCCTGGGCTGGGACTTCCGGATTACCAAAAGTGTCTCCAGCCCCACATCCACCACCAGTGGTGGGGAAGGGGCTGCGCTGCCTCACAGGACACAGTGCAGTTCTCTGAAGCAGGGGCAGGAATGGGGTCCTGTGCTGGAGTGAGAGCTGTGCTCCTTGGCCCCAGCGTAGCCCCGCTGGAGCTCTTTCACCTTGCTTTGGACCTGCTCCAGAGTGCAGTCGTGGCCCCTCGTGGCCAGGCTCTTGGTCATCTGGCTGTAGATGTCCGCATTGTGCTGTCTGGAGCGGAGTTCCTGGAGGGTCTCCTTTTTGCCCCAAACCTCCAGGAAGGCCAGGATCTCTGCCCCAGACCAGACAGTGCATGCCTTTTCCTCCCTCTGGCAGGCTCCTGGGAGCCCTGTGCATGCTCCCTGTGAGGGCCAGTGGACTCCTGGGGGGCTTGTGGCTGGGACATAGTGCCCAGATGTGTGGTAGTGGCAGCCATGTGGTGAGCTGCAGCTTCCAGGGCCAACTTCCTGCCAGGAGCCCTGTCCCGGGTGCTGGCAGCTTTAAGAGCTGCTGGAAGACAAGAACTATAGAGTTATGATGAGTGAGGATGGTGTGGCCAGCAGGGCACCTGTGTTATTTCCTGGAGGCCTCTTTTTTTGAGAGAACTCCTTCTTCTGCATCCACACCTGCCTTTTTCCAAAAAAGCTTTTTCGGAAAAAACCTTATTCTTCGTAGAATGAGGTTTACTGCCATCGAAAAAAGCCCTTCATTATTTCGACTTTTTGTCAAAATAACTCTATTGCAGTGTTGATGCAACTATTGTTTTTCCGAAATAACAGCTGTTATTCTCGAAAAATGCTGCAATGTAGATGTACCCATAGATAGAGACTGAAGGAGTAGCCAAGCCTTCAGCTCCAATCTCCTAAGGGATAAGAAACCCCGCCTCCCCCCACACAACCCTCACACACCAGACCAGCTGGTGAATGCTCATCATTGCTTAATAGAAGGTCAAAGATTAATTAGTTTTTGTGATGCACATGGTCAGAGGAGCTGCGTGTGAGGGGCTAATATTTAATTCCACTACTGCTGGGAAAAGAGCTGAAAAGAGGCATTAATATGTCCTCTTTCCTAATGCTGCAAAGGGGACAAACAACTCACTTTGAGCACTGTGTAAGAGGCAGGGCTGTAGTCCATGGTGCTGTGATCCACAGAACAGCCTAAGGAGACTGCTGTTTCTGGGTGAGGCCTCTAGAGCTGCCTAAAATACAGCAGTTTCAGGAGGTAGCTGAGTTAGTCTGTACAGGATAAACTTGAAAAACAACAAATGGCCTGGTAGCACTTTAAAGACTAAGAAAACAGCCCACTTCTTTAAATGACTAGAGCACGGGCAGCCCGTGCATATAGGCAGACTCGGCAGTCACCTAGGGCGGCGCGTTAAAGGGGGCACCCAATGATGACGCACCGCCGTTGAGGGCTTTGGATGTGGGAGCACCGATCGTGCATTCCGCCTAGAGCTCCAGTTGCCGGTAGCTCATCTTGGAGGTGGGGGCGCTGATCGTGCATTCCGCCTGGGGCACCAGTTGCCTGCAGTTCGTTTCGGGCCACCCCTGGACCAGAGTGTTGGATGTCCAGGACCAAAATAAATAAGGAAGTGGGCGGGCGAGCGGGCAGGGGTGGAGGACAAAGAAAAGGAAAAATGCGGGGGGAACAAGAAGAGGCAGCGGGTAAAAAATATCAAGGGGAAAGCGGAGCTGGAATATAATAGGAAAAGCAAATAGTCTCTAAGTACCTAAAGACTAGATAGTCAAAAGAGGCTGATAAGAACCGTTAATTAGCAAACAACAAATAGGCAGGTAGCACTTAAAGACTAACAGAACATGTAGATGGTATCATGAGATTCTACATAGACAAAGAACCATGGTTGCCTTCATTGTTTGGTAGTTTGATAATGATTCAGCCATCCAGTATCTTTATTTAATCCATAGGTGTGAGAATCGAAGTGTGAATGAATTATAGTTCCAGACCTTTCCTGTGTATTTGGTTTGTGCAATTGGTCTGTAACAAAACAGCTACTTGAGGATATATTAATGAATGCCCAGGAAGATTAAAGTGTTCCCAAACAGATGAGCATTCATTAACAGATCTTCAAGTATCTGTTTTATAACAGACCAATTCCACAAGCCAAATACACAGGGAAACTCTCTCCTGCACCAAAATTCTGTCCCAGACTCCACACACCCTCTGTAGAAAAGTGCAGCTCTTGACCACCTATCAAAATCTTGGAGTGGCCCACATTAAAAATTATTGCCCATCCCTGGACTACACAGAGCCCATTAGCTGGTTTCTCCCAATGTGTCAGAGAGCAGCAGCAGTAGTCACTAGGGCAGATGGAAGAGGCCATTACCAGCAAGAATGGCTCTGCACTTGTTTCCCACTGGCAACAGAATTCCAGGAAAGCTGACTATGGTGCTGTGAGATCCAAAACTGTATGCTGGGAAATGTAGTCCTGGAGTTTAGAAAACCCAAGAGGAAATCGGAAGCATGAGTGTGTTTGTGTTAAAAGGAGTTAGGGACTGCTGCTGCAGCAAATATTTCTGCAGCTTTGGGACTGAGGATTTAACATGGACAGACTCTACCATTTTTCAAACCCATTTGGTCAACCACACTTTGGAGGCCTATCGCACCTCACACAGAGCAAGTCTAAGGGGCTATTGTCTGCTGGCTCTGAGAATGAAGTAAAGAAACAACAATTATCAAAAACCAGAGACTAGATTCACTAAGTACATTACACAGACACCTTTATTTTTTCCCAATTAGCCATCAAAAACCATTCCATTCCGAGATTGGGTTGTTTAGAACTTCCGTTTAAAATACAGGGTAGATCTCCTGATATCACCAGCAGAAGGAGGGTTTCCAGAACCGAGTGCTTCTCTAGGACTAATCACTGGAGTGGGGGTAAGGAGAAGAAATGTACGTCTGATTCCTTACATCTGAAATAAACTCAGGTACACTGAGAAGATTCTTTCTATTATTCATCTCTAAATGGAAACTGAGGGTGGTCCTCAAGCCTAAAAAAGAAAACATTTATTAACTATCCCCATGTAAGTGCATTCCCAAGACTTCTGAGTGCAAAACAGGAATCTCAAGGAGCAGACTTGCAATGCTATCCATCGGCTGTAGGGGTTTCTTTAGGCCCCTCACAGTACTACTCAAGCACATGAGCGCTCTGATGTATAGTGTCTATTGAGATGATCTTACAACAGAGTTTATAACTAATGCCTGTGTTCCCTTGGAAGTTAATAAAGCTCAAAGAAAACATGACTGAATGGGGCACAACTGTCTGTAACTGCCAAGGGCAGAAGGCTGTTATGAGAGATTGTTATTCTCAGTAAACAGTGAATCTAGAACAAGTAATACTGGGCTGTGATGAAGCTGGGAAAATAGTTTTAAAAATGCACATAGGCCCAAACAGTAAAGTTGAGATCCTGCTCTGGATACAAACTTTGGCTGTTTTTGTTTACCCTGTTGCAGAGATAAAGGCTGCCCAGATCAAAGTCTAATTACTCTAGATCCAAATTTTTGCAAAGATCAGTGTTGTGAGGGTTCTGAGAGTTCAGCTGTCAGGTGTGCCCAGTGACTGCACAGAGCTAGGGATTTATCCACAAAGGAGAAATGTGCAACTCTCTGATCCTTCAGCTAATCCGCAAGGTGCTCTCTGTTAGCTGGAGATTTCAGGAGTAGGGAGCTTGCTCCCCTTCCTTCCATAGACTGGGACATACAGGCCACAGGCAGTACCAGACCCTGCCAAAACAATAGATGCAAAATCTGCAGACATATCTCCACTACTACAGTGATCAATACTTCCTACACCATCCCTTCCAAGATCTATGAATCCTACAAACACCCATGATAACATGTAGTCAAAATCATCCAGCATACTAAATGCCCTAACAACCACAATTATATAGTTCGAATCACCTAACACAGGAAAATAATACCCAAACACCCTATCACCGAGTCTCTGTCCTACCAGTTCTCATCAATGTTCCCTCTAATCTTTTCCACTGATCCATTGCATAAACTTTTCTAGGGGTATGTCTACACTACCCCGCTAGTTTGAACTAGCGGGGTAATGTATGCATACCGAACTTGCTAATGAAGCCCGGGATTTGAATTTCCCAGGCTTCATTAGCATAAAGCCGGCGCCGCCATTTTTAAAAGCCGGCTAGTGCGAACCCCGTGCCGCGCGGCTACACGCGGCACGGGCTAGATAGTTCGAACTACGTAGCCATTCCGAACTATCTGTACTCTGTGGGAACTGGCCAATGGGAGCTGGGGGATTTTGCTAAGGGTTGGGGTCAGCGGGTGAAGCTTTCTCCTCTCTGCCCGGACTGTATAACAATTAGCAGGCTGCTGTGTAAAGCTGCAGCAGCTGCTGTGTAGTAAGAGTGCCAGCGAGCAGTGATGTAGCGAGAGAGACACGTGGGGGAGGGGCATTTGCCCCCAGGTGCCATGCTAGGGAAGCACCAATTTAGTCCCCCTCTGCTGCCCCCCTCATCTCTTGGCTTGTCTGCTCCGCCTCTGTCTGCTGGAGCCTCCTCCTCGCCTCTCCGCCCCCAGGCCGACCCTCTTCCACCTCCGCCGGTGGGTTAGTGCATTCAGGGGCCCAGCCCCAAACTGGAGAGGGCAGAGGAAGATGCAGTACAAGCTCCCCCCTCTCCTCCCAGGGTCAGGCTCAGCTCTGCGCCAGGTTCAGGGCCCTGCCGCGCGGTGATGGCGGGGGAGGGGAGCATGCAAATTTTGCCTTTGCCCCTGGGTGCATAACACCCTTGCTACGCCTCTGCTGGCGAGGTGTCTGCAGGCCAGATGCGGTAGCTTGGCAGGCCAGATCTGGCCTGTTAGCCGCTTCTTGCCCACCCCTGTTCTAAGTACATCCGTTGTTATCACGAGGGTCAGTATAACACAAAATCTGGTCGCTTTGTGACCACTGGAGCCATTCTCCTGCCTCTCCAGAGAGCTCTAAATACAAAGCATTGAGACTCACGGTGTTAACTTCAGGTAGGTAATGTTTTTGTTCATCCCATCAATGATTTTCATGTCCTCAGCAGAGAGCTGGAAGTCAAAAACCTGAATAGAAGACCGCATTAAACGTTGGGTTATTCCTGAAGGGGATGGCTCTTTGAAGCATGAGTATGTGCATTTACAGATGCACAAGCCTCATATTAAGTGAAATGGAAATGAAAGATGTATATTAATCTGAGCCTGCTTTTTTCACTATATTTTAGATATTTCCAAGGTGAAGGGCATGCAGCTATGTAACTGCTGTGATCCCCTTTCTGTGAATTTCATCCTGAAACTTCTAGCAATACTCTGCACATGGTATAATAGGTAGTCTGCAAAGGCAGCTATCACTTTGAAAGTAAAGGGCATGTTACAGAGAAGACACGCTCTGTGCTCTCTTCTGGAAATGTTCTCTGTTTTCTTCTTTCCTTTAATCTAGAATCAGTCAGTTTGATATTGTACGGTTTGCTCCTTAGGTATGGGAAATAGAGCAAGAGATCCCATAGGAAGCTGATTTACCTAGCAAAACTGATCCTGGGCAAAAATGGGCAGGGGAGGACAGAACCAGGTTTGGGGATAATCAGTTGTCTAGGCAAGAGGGGCGAAAACAGGAAAGGGGCACTCTCCTTGGGGAAGATCATTTGTTTTTCCAAAGCTCAGACAGGACCCTTATCCAATTGGATGTCAAGAAGAGGGTTGTAGTCATTCTGGGTACATCTAAACTATGCTAGACTTTCAAAAGAGGATATGCAAATTCAGCAGGTATTTGCATATCCTCTTCTGACTGCACTTTCGAAAGTGGAGCTTTCAATAATCGGATGCGGTTTTGTCGGCAAACCCTCCTGTTTGTTGACAAGCTGCTTTTCCTTAAAAAATGAGGTTTACACGGTTTGTCGTTCCGTGGGAATTTGCATATCCTCTTTCGAAAATCTCGCGTTGTCTAGACATAGCCTCTGGGAAAGGACTCTACAAAATATTGCCTTTGGGAGACACAAACACTCCAGGGTTTTTTTCATTGGCTATTATTATTTGTTCTCTAAGGGGTGCCAAATTAAACAGCTCAAATATTAAAGTGGCAAAAGGATTCTCCAAGAATAGAGAACCTGCCTTAGAACTGCACTGAAAAATGGTTGATAGTTCTTGGGCAGGACGCTGAAATAGTGCAATGTACAAAGCACAATATTTCTCAGCTCTCAATGTGGTCTCCTTTAAGAGTTAAGGAAAGGGTGCCCCTCATTCTCTTCTCTCTACACTCTTGTTTTACCTGGAAGTTTTCTTCAATACGCTCTCTGGTGAAGCTCTTAAAGAGGACCACGATACCGCGCTGCAGCTGGTAGCGCAGAGCTATTAGAGCAGGACTTCGGTTGTATTTTTTTGCAATTGCTCCCAATACAGGGTCGTCCAGCAGAACTGGGGTGCTTAGATCGATCCTACAGGGGAAACAGACAAAACAGGGGACATTTCTGGGATCAGGAATGCAGTCACCACAGCCAAGTGAGGACAGTACCGGTACAACCTAAGATAACATTCTAGGTCTTTTCCAGCTCTTGTTTTTATTGTATAACTCTTTAAATATCATTTGGAAGAGAGAGGGCACTTCCCCTCCCTCCGACCCATTATTGACGTTTTAAACCTGGGAGCAAAGCCCAGTTTCTTTCCTTACCACATCTTCCCTCGCTGTGAGCCCAGAGTATGAAAGGCTTCAAGGAGGATACCATTGGATTTGCAGAAGGCCAGCAGTTTGCTTTGGTTGAGGTAAGGGTGACATTCAACCTGCAGAATCACCCCCCAAACCAAAATTGAGATTTTAGATAATTTGAGCAGCAGCAGCAGGTGGAAAAGAGACAGAAGATGTTATGTCAACAGGATTCAGAATGTGAAAATTTCAAATATACTGGTATTAAAATACAGCCCAATGATCCAAATGACCATGGGGTGCAATTTAATTGATAAGAAATCCCAAACAACATTTTATCTAGTAGAGAACAGAAGATAAGACATATTGGCTGTGTCTACATTGGCTGAGACACATCGCAATTGCAAATCCGCAGGGAATTTAAATATCCTCCGCGGCATTTACATTTACAAGGCTTTCAAGTAGGAATAAGAGATCCTCCAGAAAAGGGCTTATTTTCCAGAGAATCACGTCTAGACTGGCGCTTTTCTCCGGCTTATCCCCAAGCCGGAAAAAAGCGGCAGCCATGTAAATGCAAATGCCGCGGGGGATATTTAAATCCCCCGCGGATTTGCAATTGTGATGTGTCTCATTAGCATCCCTTTTCTGGAAAGGGATGCCAATGTAGACACAGCCATTAAGGGAGGACAGGCTCAATAAAGATTTTTAGTGAGGGCCACAGCATGCTTGCATTCCTCATGTGTTTAGTTCCACTGTGTTCTCAGTAAGTGGTTTAGATGCAGATTTTGGACCATTGTGTATTGTTACCAAGCTAGGATATGGATCAAGATATTGAACTGGATTAACTACAATGACCATGAAAGCAATTTAAAACATCAAAAGTACCTTTTACCTATATATTATTCTCAATGCAGAACTTGGGAGGAGTTTCTGCTATACTAATTTTGAAAAAACCCCACGGAGTTTTCAAGAAGCAAAATTACTTTCAACAACTGAATTCTATGCATATCCTGAGCTATTTTGCTTATCATACACAAGTCATTTTTTTCTCTTTATCCAGTGGGTATAGAATACATCTGGGTATTTACATGAAGGGTAGGCAAGTGGATTGGAAAATAACACAATCCATCTGAATCAGCTGTCTCTGATTATTAACTGAAAGCCACGTTCCTGAGAATGTGTTTGGCTAATCTGGTAACAAAACATTCTCCTATTCCAAACAGAGAGATGTTGGTGCTCTAAATGTTCATTCCCATATCCAGGGAATATGAGGTAGCAAGAGAAGACCTCTGGATGTACAGGGAAGTGGCAGTGCCTTTCTTTCTCTGACCCTTCTCAAACACTGTTCTATGGTATTTTCTATTTTATTCTTTCCTGATTTGTCTAACTTTGTCATGAATTCAGTGATGGGAGCAAACACAGCCCTTATTCCAAATAACATAGAACTATATATTTTTTTCCAGAACTTGAACCTCAAGCTATAGTTCTAATGGCCTCTGTCTTAAACATCAGCTAGTCCCAAAACCTACACATTCTGAATAGTTCAATAACAGAGTCTAACTTGTGTCTACTGGAACTGGAAGAATAAGGAAGTTTCCTGTTTGAGTTAAAAGAAAGGCTGGGCATTAGCTCCTACTGCGAAAGGCATGCTGGAGTTTCTCATTCCTTTGAGCACTGAGTTTCTTCCCGCATTAAGGAAACCCTTAACAGACTAGAAGTTACAAATTTTGTCTAACTGAACTCTATTAGATCTCCATCTTAGGGACAGAGTTTTACCTGGTTGAGAACAGGTTTGTACTTGAGCCCGGCTTTGTTCAGGATCATTTCCAGCTGTCTGATGTTGAAGTTGGAAACCCCGATCGACTTCACCAATCCTGCATCTTTACATGCTTCCATGGCCTGGCCAAAACAACAACGACCAATTCTATTATCACAACTGGCAGTATAATTTCCACACACATTAAAAATTATGCTCAACTGGGCTCGCTCAATATACAATTATTGCACCAAAATGTTTGTATACAGACATGGAAGAGAAGTTTGTTCTATTACAAAATTCCAGCCATTCACTTCGGCATCACGTGTTTGTGGAAGCCACAGTTGAATAAAGACATTTTCTTCCCCAGTTGAAAGCAGACCAGTGAGTCTCAAACTGTGGTTGGGGACCCCAAACTGTGTCATAACTCAATTTAATGGGGTCACCAGGACTGTCCAAAGACCAACCCCCACCAGTTAGGTCCAGGTTATGGGTTACAAGGCTCAGGTTACAGGACCTTGCCTCGGGTTGAAGCCTTTGGGCTTTGGCTTTGGGTCTCCCGACTCCGGAGCAGCGGAGCTTGGGAAGGATTAAGTGTAGGCCATGTGGTAATTTTTGTTATCAGAAGGGGGTTGCAATACAAGAAAGTTTGAGAACCCCTGAAGTATATAATCTCTCTCATTTCTGCCTTACACACAAAGAAGCTCAAAGACATAGTGATACCCAATCACTGCTAGTGAACACTGAAATCAGGATACTGCGTAAGTAAGGGACTATTAATGCTACTTTAAGGGTTTTATAGTACAAAAGTATCTGAGAATTAAAAACACATTGCAAAGGCAATTTTCTTTCTCTGAATAGTCACATCTCCACACCAAATGCCGTGAATGATCCACTTGCACCCTGACTTGATTAGCTTAATTAACACAAGCAGCTTCTCCCTTCTATATATTCCTGCTTCGGTAACTTCCACTTTAATTGCTCTGATGAAACACTGAAAGCTCATGCCCGAATACATCTGTTAGTCTCTAGGGTGCCACAGGACCCCTCATTTTATTTACTGATAGTAGCCATGAATTGTTGTGTTGAGATACACGTTTCCCTATCCTGATCATAGGAAATGACTTCAGAGTCTCCAATCAGGAGCAGTGCTGTGGTAACAACACTACTGAAGCTAAATCCTGTTTAGCAAGTATTTTCTATTATCTGTTACAAGCAGAGTCCATTGAAGAGAAGGCATAAATATTAGAGGGGAAGTTTTAGCTTTTTTCCATTTGAATGAGGGTGTCACGTTAGTGCTTGTGTAAGTGAGGGACAATTATTTCCAAGAATAATATGAACAGACACTATATCAGTTTTCCCCAAATCTCTGCATGACCTGCTGTTGCTTTGTATTTAATTTCTGGCCTTTCTTTAGAGAAAAGCAGCAATGCGATTAAACTAAGTGATGGACTTTATGGTGGGAGGAAGTGTGGACAGAGTTTGATCCTAGCTCTTCAGCAATGACAGGTTGCCCCACTAATAGGCTGCAATCTGGAGCTGCTCAAAGAGCATTAGCTAACGAATTTGGGATCAATGGAGTTCTCATTTTGGCTGACTCCAGGGAAAAATATTTCATTCCTCCTCTGTGGAAAATATATCACGTAAAGCCCAGATCATAATTCTGTCCCTGAAAATGACATTGGCAATATCACTGCCCTAAGAAGAGAAGACCAGAACATCTCAAAGTGTAGTTTTGCTCTGCAAAGTGATTTTGTTAAAAAAATAAAATAAAAGACATTACATAGCTTCCTGTTGGTTGTCTTGCAGTGATTACCCCATAAAATCTGCTCCATTTACAAGTGCAAACATATTTCACTTGCCCTGAACACTCAAGAAAGGCTGGACTGTGCACAGTTATTTTACCACTTTAATTATCTCATTCAGACAGGGATGTAGTTAACCTCCTCTAGTGTGGTGAGGCTGCTCCCACACCAGTCCTAATGTTTAAAGAGCTTCTCAGGGCATAATTAGCCCCAAGCCACTGCACCTATGAGGCTTGTCAAACCTGGAGAAAGGAAGGACCTTAAAAGGGAAGAAACTGGCTCGTTCTGGGTGGGACTCTGATTTTCTCCTGGGGAATCTGTTTGAGCACACAGGCCTTCTGAGGCAGTGGTGGAACTGGCTTATGCTTCTATTTTTGTAGCCTTGAGACTTTGTTTTCATTGCCTGGGCACAAATAGGAGTCCAGATCTCCTCCCAATGACTATTGACCTTTCTCTCTGAGTGAGACTGCAAGGACCCGGCCTTTGTTGTGGGCTGCAGAATTACTGAGACTTTCTTCATTTGGATTATTTTATATCTTGTGAAGGGGCCAGACATGTTGTCTATCAGATGCAGGCAGAGAGCTCTACCCGACACTCTGAAGCAGGTCTATTGTAACAGAAATATCCAGAAAAGCATGTCTGAAGGGAGAGCGATGCCCCATCACACTCCACGATATAACTTATCCCAGCCGAGACAGTCATGCTGGTATAAACATGCCTACAATGGGAAAGCGTATTCCCTCAAATTGAGAGGAATAAAATACCCCAGTGTAAGCAGCAAGGAAAAGCATATCTGCCTTCAGGGCTGGCCTTACCACGAGGTGAACTGAGGCGGCCACCTCAGGTGCCAGATTGTGGGGGGAGCACCACTAGGACCCAGAGTATAGAAAATTGTGTCTGCCGCCGATGCATATGTAGGTAGCAGAGCAGTACCATGAGAGGAGTAGAACAGGAAGAAGGCAGAATTGAGACCTTTCAAAGTTTTGGCCCAAGCAAGGGGATATGGGGACATCATTTGAGCTCACCGCCTTAGGTGCCAAAATGTTGTGGATCAGCCCTGTCTGCCTTTACTTTAGGGGTTGTACCAATTTAACTATTTTTCCAAAACACACCCCTAAATGCAGCAATACAGTGAGACTAAGACTGTGTGTGCACCCGCTGTTCTCTGCCATTTGAACTGGACTCTTTCCAACTTTTGCACCATCACTAATAAGAACAGTTCAATTATACCTTTGCAACCCCATTGTCTTCAGATTATGCCCTCGGTGACCCCTGAGCAACATCCTCTTAACACGGGTGTAACTGATCTGAATCCCAAACACTGTTACAGGCTGGGGACCAACTGGGTAAGTAGCAGTTCTGCAGAAAAGGACCTGGGGATTACAGTGGACGAGAAGCTGGATATGAGTCAATAGTATGCCCTTGTAGCCAAGGCTAATGGCATATTAGGGTGCCATAGGAGGAGCATTTCCAGAAGATCCAGAGAAGTGATTATTCCCCTTTATTTGGTGCTGGTGAGGCCAGATCTGGAGTATTGCGTCCGGTTCTGGGCCCCCTGTTATAGAAAGGATGTTGATGCATTGGAAAGAGACCAGCAAAGGGCAACCAAAATGATTAGGGGGCTGGAGCACATGGCCTATGAGGAGAGGCTGAGGGATTTGGGCATATTTAGTCTGCAGAAGAGAAGAGTAAGGAGGAATTTGATAGTAACCTTCAGCTTCCTGAAGGAAGGTTCCAAAGAAGATGGAGAGAGGCTGTTCTCAGTAGTGACGGATAGCAAAACAAGGAGCAATGGTCTTAAGTTACAGTGGGGGAGATCTAGGTTGGATAGTAGAAAAAACTATTTCCCTAAGAGGGTGGTGCAGCACTGGAATGGGTTTCTTAGGAAGGTGGTGGAATCCTGGCTTGACAAAGTCCTGATTGGGATGATTTAGTTGGGGTTGGTCCTGCTTTGGGCAGGAGGTTGGACTCTATGACTTCTTGAGGTCTCCTCCAGCCCTAGGAATCTATGTTTCTATGAATTTAGTAAGAAAAATGTGTTGATGATTCCAAGAGGCAGCTTCTTAGCCCAACGTAATCAACCAACTATGGAAAAATGGGAACAAAAACCAGCCAAAACTTAGGCCATGTCTTCATAGACGGAAGAACAATGCTGTTGTGATCAATCTTCCAGAGTTCAATTTAGCGAGTCTAGTTAAGAGGGTTCAGAGGGTGCCGCCACCTGCTGCAGGTACTCCTGTATCTGTTAGGAGTAAGGGAAGCTGACTGGAGAGTTTGTCACCATAAGCCTTTCACTATGGGAACGGCGAGGAAAGGCAAAACAAGATAGGTGTGTTCCAGCTACGTAATTAATGTAGCTGGAGTTCTGTATCTTGATTCGACTTTCCCTATGAGTGTTGGCCTGGTCTTATTTTTGTCACTAAAGCTGGCAGCTATGATGTTCAACTATACATACAGGAAGCAGATGTGTTAAGCGTGAATCCACATTTTATCAACAGGAAGTTCAACAACACATTTGCTAACAATTCCAGCCTCCCACATACAGAACAATCACATTCTCCATATCTATCTAAAAAATGTCATTGACTAAAACTTCCCAGAATGCTAAACACCATCTAAGTAAGAAACTGTGGTTGAGTAAAAACATTATCTGTGTTATTGTTTAATATTTTTGTTACTCACCTCCCAAGTTTGACGCAGGTCTACAATATCGAAAATGACCTTACCATTTTCATCCATGGGTAATAGATCTGGCCCAGGCTTAAAAACAAAAAGAAAATCCCCTTAAGTGTTGGTGTTTTATACAAATGGATTTTAATTATTTTGGGGCTAAGGAAAGAGTTTTGATGAGGAGGAGTGGTGGAGGATAAGTGTTGAAATCTAAATCTAGCAAAAACAATAGAATGGTTTCAGCTAAACCACTTGACTTCCCATAAGCTCAAAACATTTGGATGAGAAAGCATGAGGTGGATGATTGCCTAGTCACCAAGAATTTGCTCTACCAGCAACTCCTATGAGTTCTCATATAAACATCTTATTAGTTCCCTTTCTTTTAAGTCCTTTATGGAAGGACACCAGCAGCATCAGAACAAAAGTGAAATAATTTGATTTAGAACCACATTGAACTGAACTGAAGTTTCTACTTCTCTAAGGACAGAGCAGCAACTGTAAATTGTCAAACTGAGCTAGTGAATTTATCTGCACACCACCTTTGAGTAAAGTTCCTACACATGGCTCAAATATATAGTGTATCTTATCTTCCACGATCAAAATTTACCCTAGATGCTTAGAAAGAGTAAATAAGAGGATAAATGTTAATTCTGTAAAATTAATTAGCTCGGGGAACAATTCAATAAAATACATATTTGCCAATTCAATAAAATACATATTTTTAGTGGAATAGAGTGAAGCCAAGTAGCATATGATGTATTAATAGCAAAGATTAATAGTATAAGGCTGTTAAACTACATGCTATCAATGAGAGACAATACAAGTCCCTCTCTCAAATACTGAATTAAGGAATACCCCATTAGCATTTTTTTGTCTTTTGTCTTCCACTCGAATATGCATCATAGGCTACATCTGTAGGCTGGCTGCATGATTACATAGACTACTTTTTTTTAACATGCTCTGGCCCATGGATATATTATCAAACATTTTGCTTTTCCTATGTATATTTGTTAAAGAGATGTTTACCTTTAGAGACGTGGGCATATGGATAATGAAGAGATCAAGGTATTCAAACTGAAGTTTCTTCAGTGATTGTTCCAGGCAGCTTCGGACAAGTTCAGGACGGTGAAAGTTACTTGCAAGCTGTAATGATTCAAAACAGTTTTTTTCTGAAGAAGTCCTCTCTTGTCTGCTTTCTCAAAGGCTGTTTCTGCAAAAACTACTTTTCTAAAATGTTTTAATCAAGGCACACCACTGGATTTGCCTTTTTCACAGAGGGGTTGGTTTGCGAGCTGTTTGTGTGCAAAGTTGCACATCAGAGTGAGAAATGAATATTTCCTGAAGAAGCAGAGTGAGGGAACAAAATGGTTAGGATGTCAGAAGTACACTTGGTCAGTATAGGAACCCTATGTGAGGCCAATTTAAATTGTGGCCAAATTTATTCTCCTTGATTATTAAGCGTCACTGTGTTGTCTGACTTCAGGAGCAGGCCTTTGGAAGAAGGGAATGGAAGATATCCCTTGTATATGACTAGGTTCTGCACGAGAGGTGAAAGTAACTTAAAATTTCTTACAGGTACTGTCTTATTGAAACCTGGATCCCTGCAAGCTCTTTAAATAGCTCCCTTCTGGCTTTTGCTGCAGCTCAGCCAGCTCTTGCCAGAACTGCACACCTGGGCGCACTCACTTACTTTTCCTTCTGTTCTGCACACTGTTCTGGGAACCAGGAGATGGGAGTACAAACAAATCCCATTTCTAATAGACATCAGTTCTAATGTGGAAAAAATCCCATCCCAAGAACCCCCTTTACTGTGTGGTTCTACTCTGAAATGTAACTCTGCAAATATGAGAAGATGATGTGAATATTGACACCTTATGAGTCAATACAAATGTATCCCATTTACAAAAGGGGGCATTTCTAATTGCCAGTTCTACAAACTCAGTATGGATCAAGGTGGGTTCTTCGCTTCTTCTCCATCATCTCCAGAAATAAAGATGCAAAGATGCTTCGGAACAAATTATGCTCTCAGTGACACCTTTCAAGCCCACTGTTTTAGAATCTAGCTCTCAGGGTGTGTCTACACAGCAGGGCTGAACTAGAAATAAGCTACTCAAATTGAGCTACGTCAATTGTGTAGCTTCTTTCAAAATACGGAGCGTCTACACAGCACTTATTTCGATATAGAGCACTCTTCCTCCATCTTCCCTTACTCAGGAGTCGGAGTAAGAAGTCCTCCAGCTTGACAGTATTTTGACACTATTTCGAAATAACTGCCAGCTGTGTAGACGCAGACTAAGTTATTTTGGAATAGCGTTGCAGTGTAGACATACCCTCAGTGATAATTCCTTGCTTTAAATTAGTTTGTAGTACAGGTGCAATTGATTGGAAATTAGTAAACAATTTTATCAATGAAAGCCAAGGAGAAATGAAACCCATTCCACTCTCCTTTAGCCATGTTGTCTCTGTAGAGCTGGTAACAGTGATTCTTTCCATAGACTTCATAGTAGATAGGACTCTGAATGTACACAGGGAACAGAAAGGCTGAATAAGAAGGTGCCATTATTACATGATCAATTTTAAAACTAAATCCACATTTTAAAGGGAACCATAATGGTCCCTCATGCAGAGTCACCAGTGTGCACAGGAAGGCTACGTCTACACTGGCCCCTTTTTCGGAAGGGGCATGCTAATTTTGAAAGTGGGAATAGGGAAATCCGCGGGGGATTGAAATATCCCCCGCGGATTTAAATAAACATGGCCACCACTTTTTTTCCGGCTTGGGGAAAAGCCGGAAAAAAAGTGGTGGCCATGTTTATTTAAATCCGCGGGGGATTGAAATATCCCCCGCGGATTTAAATAAACATGGCCACCACTTTTTTTCCGGCTTGGGGAAAAGCCGGAAAAAAAGTGGTGGCCATGTTTATTTAAATCCGCGGGGGATTGAAATATCCCCCGCGGATTTCCCTATTCCCACTTTCAAAATTAGCATGCCCCTTCCGAAAAAGGGGCCAGTGTAGACGTAGCCAAAGTGTAAAAATAGTCATTGTGGCTAAATAAAATAAAACGTTCCGCCTGGTGACCTGTATTTTCAGGGGCATGAAGAAGCTGTTGTAGTTTTCGTTTCACACATGTAGAGATGAGCCTTGTGCTTATAACTTGTTCCTGATTATGGTTTCCCAATTCTGTGAATATCACTCCCGTAAAGGCAGCCCTTTTAATACTGGCCTTGAATAGATCTCAACATTCTCCATCAGTTAGACAAAGTAATGAGCAAAGGAAGCAGGACAATAAAAAGCCCATTGTTAAAACAAAACTCACTTACCTTTCCTGTGTAAAATATGTCCTCTCTTTTGACTGTTCCATCAGCAATCTTTTCGCGAATGGCTTGCCCAACCTCTTCCTCAACCCCGTAGATAAAAGCTCCATCAATGTGGCGGAAGCCAACTTCTATAGCCACTTTTGTTGCCTCCTTACATTTACTTTTTTGAACCTATCAGTTAAGAAGATGTAGTGTCAAGTGGGTTAGGGATATTTTATGAGAGTCGGCTAGAGCTTTGTTGTCCAGTGGCACATTTAGAATTTTGAATTTAATTGAAGGGAAATTCAAGGGTTCTGAGCCTCATCTTCTGGAGCCCAGAATCTTACGTTATCATTGACACCACAGCAAAGCAAATAGAATATAGGTGTAAAAAAGCTACCATTCAGGTGTAGCACTCTTTGTTAGTCCCACTGTGCAAAGGAGTAAATGACTCCTTACACTGAAGGGCAACAGAGAATCTGGCGCGTTGTTCAGAATTCTTTTTTATAAGCATCAAAGGGAATTTAGGACAAGATCTGGAAACCAGGAACTGTCAGAATCAGATATCAACATACACTGTGGATTAGAACCCCCAGTCTGGCTGAGCTGAGCTAATCATTTTACAAACATTTTATGATTTTTAAGCCAAACTCATGATCTTGTTGAAACTGAACTATGTTTTTGAATACTTGGATTTGGCAGGATTGCCCTACGTTGGAACAAAGTGTTTGAGGATGTGAGTTTTAGCCCATTATAGCTTATTCTCTAATTCTCTAATAAATGTGTTGGCTTTGAAAGTGGCACCGGACTCCTTGTTTTTTCTGAAGAATTATATTCTTGTAATATATATTAATTAATCTTTCACTCCAGACTCCAGAGTAATTTTCGGGCACTGTCAATAGATACTGAAACTAGATCTACTGAGATCTCATCTTGTAGCCTTTCTGGAGCGATAGAGGCAAAAGTTATACCAGTGCTCAGCAGTGTTAACCAATAGGTTAAAGACAAAAATCCATGAAAGCTTTACTTACTTCATCAGGGGAATAGGTACCAAATCCCACTGCAGGAATTTTATTCCCATCATTCATCTTGATACAACGGTCTTCATCAAGCTCCATATCTTTACAGAATTTCTTCAGTTCTTTGCTGAATACACTGCTTTGAACACTGCTTTTCAGATAGGAAAAACAGTATGAATTTCTATTGTAGTTGTATTTTTTTAGGATGTAGACTAGAAAAAGTAAATAAGATTGGTGCAGCAGGCATGAAGGAAAAAAAGGACAAATGCAAAGTGATAAAACTGTCAGAAAACAAATTGTCAACATTAAACAGCAGTTCAAAGATCGGTCTCTTTTCTCAAAGTTTTTTGACTTAACATTGCTTCCTTGTGACACAACAGAAGTGGACAAAAGAACTCCCTTCAAATTTACAGCTACTGTTCAATAGATGCAAAGTGTTTCCAGCAAAAATATAATTAGAAAAAACACTGTAATCTTTAACATAGTATTTTAGAACCAACTATTGAAGGGCAGATATACCCCACCACCTTTTGTAGTGTGGAAGAGACTTATCACTGCCACATGGTCAAATCTAAAAGGGTGTTCCCCGTCCTGGGATTGTCAGTCTTGTACCTGTGGTTTTTTCCCCACATCCTTCTGAAAATCCCCTGTGGTCAGAGGGGATTGTCCCAATGTCTAGAGTCCTTATAACAACCCTCTCCAGCTGAGGTTGTGTGGTCTAATGGCCAGAGTCACTAGAGCAATTCTACACAGTTGGGATAATGTGACCAAACAACCAGAGTCACTATACAGCAGGCCAGGCCACCGCCTCAAGATAGGTGGTGGCCAAGTGAGGGGAACCCAGGCCTTCCCTTTCCACTGGGTTCTGTCTCTAGACCCTATCAGTGGCAGATTCACCTGCCAACAACTCAGAAGAGGTCAAACCACAGCACGCCAACCCATGAGCCGATTCTAACACCATTTCCTCTCTAAAGTTCCCTTGATCTCTTGCTACCTGAGTCTATGAAGTCTACAGCGTCCGTGGTCTGGTAGTCTAAGCACCCGCTGCAAAATCCCCTGCCTGGATACGTAGATCTGGTCTTATTTGGCTGGCCTCCAAGTTTTGGCGCACTTGTTGGAGCTTGCAGTGTATCTCCTTCTCCTCTAGCAGCCAGCACAGACTGAGCTCCTCTCCAGCATTTTATATACTGGTTCCAACTGGAACATACCCAGCAGAGAGGAAAGGGCACGACCTGTTCCGCAAACAAAGATATACCCCGTTACACAACACTTATCACATATTTACTAAGTTTTCAAACACAACAGAACAGAACAAATGAAATGACATATGAAAATATCAGAAGAGAACTGCCTATTGTTTAATTGTTCCTATGAATTACAGATTTGAGTGGCTTTGATCTACTAGCTCAAGGAATAAAGATAAGAAACTTAGTTATCAAAATTGGAAACAAGACTTAATAACTACATTACAAAGAGAGCTTCATTCCCCCTCTCCCCAATAATCTAGAATGATGCTAGAGACTGGATTTGTTTTAAATGTAGAGTGGTGATCTCTTGACATCATCAGTGCTCTCTGTACTCCCGGGGCAGTGTATTCCTCTGAGACTAACTCCAGTAATGCAACAAAGAGAAGAAATGTGGGAAGAAAAATCAGGAATAGTGAAGGGATCCATTTTTCAATATTCATTTTTAAATGAATACTGGGAGGGGGGAATGCACCACAGAGCTAAAAAGAAAAGTTTTAATAAAAGACCCACAGGCTGCTCTATGGTTAGAAGTTGAACTATGGAATACACATTGCAGGCCTCTCAAAGAGCAGACATGCAATGCTTTCTACTTAATATTTTTAAAAGAGAACCTATGACCATGATGAGAACCACAAATGTGTGTGTGTGGGGAGGGATGGGTGGTAAATGGGACAATTGCCCCAGGTCCTGGTGATCTAAAAGGGCCTGGTGATCCATTATGTCAATTGTTACTTATTAGCTGATTTTCTTCAATGTGCTTAAAGATTGTTAGATTATTTGCTCCATTATCTTTCCTTGTACCAAAATTAAGATGACTGCTTTATAATTCCTTTGATTGTTTTTATTTGCCTTTTTATAGATAGGTATTATATTACCCCTTTTGGGTGCATCTACACTATAGGGTTTAACTTGAAATAAGCTATGCAAACTGAGCTCCATCAATTGCGTATCTTATTTCAAAATACCTTATTTTGAAATAAGGAGCATCTAAACAGCACGTACTTCGAAACAGAGCACTCTTCCTCCCACTTCCCTTACTTCTCATACAATGAGGGTTACACGAGACGGAGTAAGAAGTCCTCTAGCTTGACAATATTTTGACACTATTGTGAACTAACTGCCTGCTGTGTAGACATGGACTAAGTTATTTTGGAATAGAGCTAGTTTTTTAGAAATCATGTTGCAGTGTAGACGTACCCTTCCGGTCCTGAGGTATCTTTTCTAACCTCCATGAGTCACCTATTCCAACACGTCCTGCAACTTCACGACATCCAAACTTGTCAAAGTGATTCTTAACTTGTACTTTTCGTACTTTAGCCTCAGAGTCCACCCCATTTACATTGCTGTCCTCTGTGTTAGGTTCACAATGACTAGGTGGCTTTTGGAGAAAACTGTGACCCAAAAAAAAAAAAAAAAAAGGCATTGAACACTTCTGCCATTACTGCCTTTTTTGTATTGTCTTTCCTTATTCATTTAGAAATGGGTCTAACCTGTCACTAATCTTCCTCTTCCTTCCCAGGTATCTGTAAAATGTTTTCTTGTTTTAGCTAGTTTAATCTCCTTTTGTGCCTTTACCTTTCTAATTTTGTCCCTGCATGCTTTTGTTGTTTTTTATATATTCATCCTTTGTAATTTGACCTAGTTTCCTCCTCTTGTATAATTCTTTTTTGAGTTTTAGGTAATTGAGTATCTCTTACTTAATCCAGGGTGGCCTCTTGCCCTACTGCCTATATTTCCTATGCACTAGTACAGTTTACTCTGATGCCTTTAATAATGTCTTCTTTAAAAATCTACCAACTGTCCTGAGCTCTTTCACTCCTCAGACTTGCTTCCCATGGGCTCTTACCTAACAATTGTCTGATTACTAAATTCTGTCTTCTTGAATAGAATTTAATAGGGGTAAAAGAAATAAGTTTCTATAGAAATTAAATAGAGCTCTTTCAAAAAGCTTTGAGAGATTTATTTAATTTAATAGAAATTGGTCACTTTTCTGAAGCATTTTTAACCACCAGAGACTTTATCAGAGAATTACATCTGTCTCTAGAGTCTTTAGATGGGTTTACAAATTTTGCAGATCAATGGTAATTTTCTATTAAATTCTATGGGATATTTCTATAAGGGAAAATGTACTTACTTTCACTGCAGTAAGGAGAAGTGAGTGTGAATACATGCAGATAATATATCTGAGTAAGAAGAAGGTGACATTTTTATAGTCACTTTTTTCAAGTTGAACCACATTTTAAAAGAGGGGCGGGGAACCTTTTTTGGGTCAGGGGCTGCAACAAGCAACAACAAAATACCCACTGATGTGGCCTCCCAAGTGAGAAGCAGAAAGACAACACCCCACATTCCCCTCACATGCCAGAGCCTAGGGGGGCCCAGCCTAGTAGATTGTGTGTGCCCCAGCCCTGCCGTGGGGTGGCAGGGTGGGGGGGAATGGAGTGACACTGAGAGCTCCCCAATGCTGGAGGGGCCTTGAGCATTGGGAGCTGGATCCAGGCAAGCTGGGGGCCATATCTGGCCACAGACTACATCTTTTCCATTGTAAACTGAACACATTTATTCTTGAAATCACTTGAAAGGCAACTAGGGAACCACATAATATAATTCTTCTCTGAAAAGGGACTCCTTAAAAGTTACTATGACAAGAATCATCTAAAAGCAAGGGGCCAGTTCTGTCCTTACTCACACCAGTTCAACCTCCATTGGTTTCACTAGCCCTTGATATACATCAGAGGCTGTTACAAGATGAATCATGGGAGCACTGATAATCGGCACAGTGAGTCAAGGTCTCACGTTCTTATTTATCTGAGCCAATGAGAGTTCTGCCTGAAGGTCTCAATAACTATGGAGTAAGGAGCTCAAGATTTGACTCATGCCAATTAACTGTGCGATGCATTTGAAAATGAAGGGCCTTTACTTGCAATCCTACATCACTCAGGCAACTGCACTGACGTCCGTGAGGGTCGATCAGCACATGAGAGCTGCTTCAAAAAGTAAAGGGAGCAGTCGCTGATCCTGCAGCCAAATGTACATGAGTGAGTGTGAGGGTGTAGCCCGGTGAGGCTCAGAGAGGTGCTCCTCCCCCCTCGGGTTCAGTGGGTGGCCATTCCGACCCACTCCCCAACATACCGTCTATAATAAAAAGTCCTTACGCGCCAGGCCTTGTTCCGGGCAGGGTGACAATATACCTCGAGGACCATTCTCAGGCCCGACCCTACTTCAGGGAGGGGCAACTAGACAGTTAGTACAAGGCCCAGACCTTGATTCCAGGTGGGTGGCAGCAAAAACAGTTTGTATGCCTAAGCGCTGGTTCAGGGCGGGGCTGCAGAGAGGCCGTTTATAAACCCAAATGCTGGTTCAGGACGGGGCTGCAGGCAAACACACACCAGTAGTTCAAGGCCCGTTTACAACAACCTCAGCCAGGTCCCCCTGCTCAAACGGGGATCCGGCTGCTGCACGGGAACAGCTGGGGGGGGAGAAGGGAAGATTGCCACCCAAGAGTGGGGTGGCAGGGGGGAGGCAGGCCTGCCCACTCTGCTGCGTACCAGCCCAGGACCCTAGTAGCAACAGAGCATTCGGCAGCTGGGTCAGTGGGGATCTGTACCACAATGCACTGACCTTCTAGTAAACAGGGGGCGACTATCCCTGGGCTGTTTCCATTTCCCCCCTCAGGCTGTACCTGGGTCCAGAGCAGGTCATCTGGGCACCGTGGTTTGGAGTCCTCCAGCCAGGTAAACAAACTCTCCAGGCAGTCCTCCAGTAATGGGCCCAGCAGCCCTGGCCAGTCCTCAGCTTCCCAGGGTCCAGCTTCTCTCTTTGGAGCGTGGCAGAGGCTACCGGCTTCCATGATTGCTGGGGCTTGGCTGGGCTCTCTGGATGGCCTTTTATATCCTTGGCCCCGCCTCCTGGCTTCCTGTCAGGTGGATTGCTAAGGCCAGGTGCTGCCCACCAAGACTCAGGGAGGGGCTCCTCCCCCTTGGGGTCAGTGGGTGGCCAATCCAACCCACTACAGAGGTCAAAGGGATTCTGCCTGGGCTCAAGAGCCAGCCCATGCTGATCTGATTTCAAGAGCTGGCTCTTGATGGGTGTAGGGTTGCCAGATGGTTTCAACAAAAATACCGGACACACTTGACATTACATCACAATCTACATTACATATTACTTAGAAAATACCGGACATTTATATTTTCTCATTTATATTTTTTCAATTTGTTTCCCGAACAGAAAGCTCAAATATTGGACAGTCTGGTTTAAAACCGGACACGTGGCAACTCTAGATGGGTGACCTGGGCAAGTCCTTCACTGCAGTTTCCCCATGTATAACATATATAGATTAGTGATACTTACCTTCCATTGCAAAGTGCTTGGGATCTAAGGTGCGAGAGCTCTATACACTTTCAGTACAACACAGCGAGTTTTAGTCACTACTAATATGGTTGGATTCTCAGGTAGTGACAGAGATAAAAGGCTTTGTAACCAATTACCTAAGTCCCCTGTTCTTTTCAAGGGCAGTCTTTGTTTGCTCATCTTATAAAGTCAATATAGTTTTGAATGATGTTAGCACATTTATTGTTTATCTCCCACAAACATGAATTGACATGAAGCTATATAATAAGAGAGCGAGCCAGATAAAAAGGGGTTCTCCTGCCAGACTTTAAGAAATTACTAAGTAGCAAATAAGATCACCATTTTCTTCTCCATACTTACAAAAAGTAACACTCACCTATCATCAGCTTAATATTATAGTTGGAGTGTCACAGGATCTACCAGAGGGCCTTGCAGTTGATGGAGTCAAATGCTTTTGTCAAATCGAAGAATGCCATATACAGAGGCTGACGTTGCTCCCGACACTTCTTTTGTATTAGAAGGGCAGAAAATATCATATTGGTTGTTCCTTGCCCTGATTGGAAACCATATTGTGATTCTGGAAGGACTT